GGGGGTTTTGTTTTTGTGTGGGTGTTGGTTTGTGGTGTGGTTTGTGTGTGCCAAAATGAGAGAGGTCCTCGCGCAAATTCCCCCGAGACTGGGCCGCTGAATCTCCAAGCACTCGTAGCTTCCGGGTGAAGTCTGGGATTAGGTAGGTGTTAGGGGTGGGGTGGGTGGAGGAAATGTGGAGTTGGGGATAGGGGGTAGGTTGAAAGGGGGTGGGAGAAGTGGGAGGGGAGAGTAGGGATAAGAATGAAAAATTGAGGGTATTTGGGGGAGGGTTGTGGTGATAGGTGATTGAGTGTGAGGAAAAGAGTTGGGGTGTGGGATTGTAAATAAGTGGTTTAGAGATTGTTAGGGGGTAATGTATGCCTAAGGTGGGTGATGGGGATTGGTGATGCGCGTCAACCATCCGGTGGGAGAATCGGGGATCATGTAACTGGATACTATCGAAGTATGCCCCTCAGAGGGGAGTCACCCGAGCGAAGGGGGGGGGTGGCTCTGGTGTACACGTTTGCAAGGGGCGGCTGGGTAATAAGCCGGCCGGTTGGAAATAAATTCAGTCCAGTCCCAGGCGCGGGTGAATGGGGGGGGCTGCCACATAGGGGATTGGTTGTGGTGCGCAGTTTATAGGTGTCAGTAGAGCGGGGGGGGGGAGGGATTGTTGTGTTGGTTGGGGTGGGTGGGGGGGTGGGGGGGGGGGGGGGGGGGGGGGGGGGGGGGTGGGGGGGGGGGGGGGGGGGGGGGGGGGGGGGGGGGGGGGGGGGGGGGTGGGGGGGGGGGGGGGTGGGGTTGTGTGGGGGGTGGGGGTGGGGTGGGGTGGGGTGGTTTGGGGTGGGATATGGTGAGTGGGGGGGGTTTGTGGGGTGGTGGGGTGGGGGGGGGGGGGTGGGGGGGGGGGGGGGGGGGGGGGGGGGGGGGGGGGTGGGGGGGGGGGGGGTGGGGTGGGTGGGGTGTGGGGTGGGTTGGTTTTTGGTGTTGGGGGTTGGTGGGGGGGGTGGGGTGGGTTTTGTTTGTGTGGTTTTAGTGTAGGTGTTGCGGGGGCATATGGGCCAATGATATGTAGGACAGGGGACAAGGGGGCGGGGGAGTATATATCATTTCACACTAGCGGTCACCGAGGTATATGCATGCTCACTGCACTTCACCGTTCCAGAACTCAATTCTGCGGTTTCCCCACCATGCCAGCCTGATGGAAGACTGGACAACCACATCGATATTTATCCATCAGTCCATATTATCCTATCAAATCCATCCGGGCAGCGCTGGAAACGGGATAGATACTAATACGCCTTTTATGGGCGCGGGCGTTAGGTTCTGCAGGCACAACCTCGGCCCAAGAGGTTTGGTGACCCGGTCATATTTTACATGCTGCCCAACTGTGTGGGCGGGAAAAACCCAGTCGTTGGAGCCTAAGGGGGCAATAAGATGGGTCATAACATATAGCCACCCCTCGAAAAAAAAAAACAATGTGGGTAAACGAGTGAACCCCTATACAATCGCATACCTCGAGTGCCCAAAAAAGACACAGCGGAACCAGTTCCGAGAAGGAAAGTGTGGCTACAGTAGGGTTCCCAAGAAAAAAGTGGAATAAACCATGCTAACACAACAATTGATTTCTGGTCTCACGGATTGCCGGATCAGCGAGAATCTCTTAATGGAGAATGCAGAAAACTACCCAGTCCCGGGGGGGGGTATTCTGTCTCTCAATCAAATTATAAGGGTGGGAGGAGGAATAAGGTAGTGAGATACAACACAGACTGTGTGTTTTTGGTCTGCTGTTGCTGCCAGTTAGAGATTTCAGAAGGGGGGAGCCGGCAATCCGTGAGACCAGAAATCAATTGTTGTGTTAGCATGGTTTATTCCACTTTTTTCTTGGGAACCCTACTGTAGTCACACTTTCGAACAGAACAAAAAAGACGGGAAATGACTGCATCCACTGATTCCCCAGATGCTTGTTTCAGCTGCGAAAAATTGCACGGAGAAGTATAGGTGTTCACTCGAATACCCCAATGTTTATCGAGGGCTGCTAAGGTCTCTGTCAACGTGGGTTTCTCCCGCAAATTTAGAGCATCAAATATACGTCAACCTCCTGGGCCGAGGTGCAAGCGCAAAAGCTTTATAGTATCTTCCGTTTCCAGCGTGACGGATGGATTGAGAAATATAATATGAAAAACTAATTTTCCAGTCTTCCCATCATTCTTCATTTGGGGAAACCGCAGAATTAGTCTGGAACGGTGAAGAGCAGTAGCATGCATATACATCGGTGACACGCTATGCTGATTTGTTGTATCCCGCAAAAGCAGCACCGGAACGTATGTATGGCGGAAACTGTCCGCACACACACGCAGTACAATTAAATCGATAGAGGTTCGCATTGCAAACAAGCAAATGCAAGATCACATGATAGGCCAACCAGTGCTAAATAGCAGGGTGACTAGGATTAGCGAATGGAAGGCAACAAACAGCAAACTATTTGAACACGACACGGACCTTGGGAGACCTCGCTTTACCGGTCCGTTGATTAGGTTTCCTAGGGGGCTTAGGCTGCAGTTTGCACTAGAACTTCCTACACATAATCTTGACAAAATCATGCTGAATCTCACGGATAACACGAAAATTGTCCACTGAAAGACCAATAGACGAAATATGATAATTCACCTGACAAACGCCATATGAAACAGCGTTTGCACGATGACCAACCATCTTCGAGCAACTTCTGCATTTTTAAATTTACCAGCGATCGATAGGACAGAATATGGGAATTATACGATCACGAGAAATAGATACGGACAGAGCATGTATTTATGATAACTAGATTCGGAATCACAAATGACATTTAATTACACAAAAGATACGGATAAACACGACTTCAATAATGTGAAAGACGAGAAAAACAAATCTAAGGGAGCAGCGAGAGACAAGGTAGTATAGAAAAACAGAAATACTGCCAAAAGCTGACAAACTATATTATTGGACAACTCAAAACCACAAATGATACTGAATTATACAACTGAAGACAAAAAATTACAATATGTGGCAGAAAAATGGAATAAACTGTCCTGGGAACAGACTGATTTATTTCGAACCGGCCGTCTTGAGCTTGAAATGTGTACAAGAGTAACTGTACCCTTGCTAGGGTGACACGCATAGGTGCAACATCGAAGTATAAGATTCATATGATTGCGATTTAGCGGATGGTTGAGGCGAAAACCAAACTTTGGATATATAAGTCTTTAGACGTATTCGTATTTTTCCACAACTTCTCGGCTCATACCCGCAGCCACATGTGAAATACGCACTACAGGTCTGGCAGTCATGTCTGAGGAAAGAGATCACCGCCTTGGAGATACCTCAACGCCAACCAACCAAGAATGTTAAGGGTTTGTATACGTTGCAGAATGAACGGAAGCTACGAGTGCTTGGAGAATTCAGCGGCCAGTCTCGGGGATTGCGCGAGGACCTCATTTTGGCTTATATGTTTTTGAGAGATCCCAACCACACGTGCCGCTACTTGTTAGTACTCGGTCACAACAGCGATTTGAGAGGCCACCATATAGCGCGATGATCGTGCGCTATATATCCGGTATGAGATTAGACGACCAACCAAAAGCAATGGTAGAAGGCACAAAAGCGAAGCTAGGGAAAAAGTTTATCAAACGGGAGAACAGCTAGCTAATACTAAAAATAGGGCACCATGATCGAGCTAGCTAGGGAGGATGTAGTTGGGCGTCGAGTGCATGGACGGAGCGTCGTTCGCAGTTGAGTCGCGCGCGCCAAAGGCGGACATCGTGTTCTTGTTTCAAACAAACGGGAACGTTCCAACGGGTAAACAGACTAATTCCCTAATACATAAGAAAGCTATAATTTTAATATATTTTAGAATAGTTTACACAGTCAGAAGGGGGAATCTCCAGGTCAATACAGCCATGTCAAACTGGCAGAGCAGTACAGTGGCTTGGAATACCGTCGGAATTTCTTTTCCGTACGCGTTTGCCGCACGTGGAATGCCCTACCGGAATCTGTCATATGTGCTCCAACGCTGGGAGAGTTTAAAGCCCGAACTGACCGTGCACTTATTTCGCTGCACCTTCTTACATGGCCCATTATCCATGGATAAACACAAGTGTTTGTAAGAGATTTTACTGGCGGTCAAAACCAGATTCCGTTCCACGTTTTTCACCTCCTGTATGTGTACATCAGAAGGAGACACGATTTTTACCAACATCCCATTTGCCGTCATTTCTTATGGATTTACCTTGGATTTGCAGTCTATACTACGTATGCTTCAGTGAGTTCACTGGTGTAAACTCAATTTTGCTAACAATTTTTTCTATTTTGTAGTTTTACCATAACCATCCTACGGGACCTGTTAAGCATTAGCTTTTCTATCCGTATAAATCCATTGTTCCATTGGAACAGTGAGTGATTTCTTCGCATGTGTGTATAGTCAAGGTAAGCGTGGTTGGTAGTATATTCCACAGATAGGTACATCTGACCAAGAAGAAACTAGAGCGAACACTTTTTCTAGCTTTGGGATATTCAGTGCAGAATTTTTATTGCGAAGCTCTCGAGTTGAGCTATGTTGCAGGCAGTTCGAATGAGTCTTTTTGGGTAGCAGGTTGAAAAGCAGCAACACGTGCTTCAATCGTCGCATCCAAAGCGGTCCGAGTTGGAGTTTGTTGCAACGCTGTCGATCATTCATGGTAAAGTGCTTACCAACCAACTGTTTAGTAAACAACCTCTACTTGTGTTCTAGCAATTCTGTCGTTCTTTCTCATGTTGCCGTACATTATGCTACAGCACTCGAGGATGGGGCGGGTGAGTAGCTTACAAAGCTTAACCCGCATGAATCGTGTACTTTCGTTGAGTATGTTAACCACAGATTGCCTGGCACGCGCTATTTGGTATTGGGTCTGTTCGGAAAAGTTGAAAGTCGATGAGTACGTAATTCAGAGATCGCTCGTGGGCGGCTGTGTAAAGACACGTTCAGTGTTTAGTGCGGTAGATCTTTCGGGGAGGGAACAGCCTTTAAACATTATTCTTGGCTTTTTCTAGCTGTGATTTATCATACACGAGTGTCCCCATACCTCAAGGGAATATACTTTGTCTTGAAATGGCAACGTTCCGTGAAGTTCGTCATGTCGGAGCATATAGATAATTTTGATATCTTCGGTGAATAAAAATGTCCGACTATGTCTTATGAACGTGGTGATGTTATTGATATAGAGCAGGAACAGCAAAGGACTGAGCACACCCCCTTGGGTGACTCTACTTGTGATGGGGCGTGGAGAATAGCGATAGTTACCTACAGTGACTACCTGATAACGACCACTCAGGCAGAACGATGACCAATCTTATAATGGTTCCCTCATCCACAGGGCCTCTAATTACTTTAATAAAAACTTGGGAGGTACTCGGACGAATGTTTGGTATACCTCCAGAAACAGCCTGAATCGATAGATTCTGAAATCTAGTTCGGATAATGCAACTGACAGACGACGCACCCTTGCTTGTCAAGAAAACTATGCTTCCTTGTAAAGCAATGCCTCTTACCCCGTATAAGATCATTGTTGATTGTTCTGGATTCTCCTGATCACGATGCACAAACACATGGAGGATAGCAGTGGTGCTACATCCGCGAAGCACTCTCTCTTGACATTGTTATTGCCAATTCTTTGACAAGAATTCCGTCATTACCTAACTATAAGAGCTGCAGTCCAAGATTAATGAAATTAGTATTACACTCCGAGGGAATGCCTCAAGCTTCGA